AAATGGTAAGCCTTTTGAGGTGTAGTGACATTTGCGGTGACTTTAATTGTATTCTCATTTGTTTCAGCAAAACTCATACACTCCCATCAATAGGGGTCGGTATAAAGTGGTCTAACCCTATGGACACAGTTTTACAGAATCTTGTAAATATCATTAATTTGCCACAAATTGTCATTTTTGCGATAATTCTTAAGTATTTGACTAAATCTATAAACAATAAAAAGTTTATTTCTAATTATGTCTATTTGTAATTATTTTTAATTTATAAATTAAATCAATTTTTGAAAATATAGATATTGCATAAGTATTTATAATACAGTACGGGTATTTATAATGGCATATTCTTGAATAATGTTTTTTTAATTTGATTTAAATTTGAGTTGGTTAATTTCATAGAGGTTTTATTGTGGGTTCACTTGTGCATGATGACTTTTCACTGGACATTGCCATTAATGGTTTAATTGTTGGTTTCAATTCTTTTGGTGTGAAGTATATTAGTCTTGTGAGCATTGAAGTGATGCACTAAAATACAAGTTATTGTATATTAACTGTAGCTAGATCACATTTATGGTCATTTATGGCAATAATTGTTAGATTTACCGGAATCTGTTTCTTCTTATGGTAATCACTTTTGTCGGGAGCGTTAGATTGGAAACCATAGGCCACTTGTAAGTTGACAAAAGTGAGCAATGTCATCAAATCCATATTCACATTGTTATAACAGTATTCATTCAATACTGAGGCCAACGATTGGATGAAATAAGAGCCGTATTCAGTGTTACGGAATGCATAGTGACCTGAATTGTGGAATAAGTTGGTTAATAGTATGTGCACTCAATTCACACACTGTATTGTCATAATTATTACCCGGAGCAGTGCAATAGTAAATTATGAAATCAGCTATTGATGGGATCCTATAGACAGGCCCTGAATTGTCGGCCACATCCGGGCCCAGGGCTTTCAATTTGACCCCAGAATCGGTTTTCTCTCCGCGACAGGCCTTCAGAACACCAACAAATTCATTGAATCTCAATATGAATGCAATCATTGAGTGTATATTAACCTGAATGATGAATATCTTTGGTTTGCCAATCAGTGTCGGACACCGGTCTCCGTTGAAATAAGCGGTGAGTGTATCGATCGGATACTTGCAATTCCGGGCCCATAGGTATTGCTCGTCGCCATGGCTTAACACCACAACTGCCACACAGTCGTTGTCCGTGTGATCATCAGTGGACACTGGGATTGAGATTACAATCAAATTTTTAATTCAATAAATAAGAGTTTCTTAAATAAAAAAATTCCATTTCGAGTACAGAATCCCAATTGTGACAAACCTTTAGACATGGCTTGTCTTATATCGGCATAACTGGCGTCCGTCTGTAGCTCGACATCAAACTCGAGTCTTTCAAATGAAGCCACAATAGCCTCGGCATCTCTGGCAGTGCCCGGACGGGGATTACATCCGGTGTGGGGGTCGAAGAACTCGTGGTTAAACACAAGACATTTACCTCTCTTTCTGTGTTTCATATCATAGGTCAGGCTATACAGCGGTACTGTCAGCACACCCGTCGATTCATTGCCCCGGATCTCACTTTTAATTTAAACATACAATTGATTTGTTTAGTAGATTATCAACTTTTATATTTAAATTTATAATAACATGCAATATACTTGCTAAATATACTATGCTAAATAATTTTAAATATTTAAAAAATTTTAAATAATGCTAAATATTTTATTAGAATATTTATTTCTTTATCTTATTAATTTTATGTTTTACTACACTATGTCTATAATGTATGAAAATTATACCATTAAACTCTATAATAGTGAAAGTGATTTGAAATTCAAATTTTGAATATTGACTACCATTGAGAAATACAATTCTGATCATTTTCAATGCAAATTTTTCATGTAATACACTGATTTAAGAAAAATATTTGTATTAGCAGTCCTTACCTGACATTAAAACCTTTGGCATCTACTTGATCCATTATTGAACCGATTAGTATTTTAAGCCTATATACAAATCAATTAATATTTTAAAATATATTTAAGAGTTAAATATAAATCACAAATTATACTTGATACAATTATATCGAAGTGATTTGTTTAGTATGAATGTTGTATTTACTAGTATGATGACTAACTACAGGTAGCATTATTTCATTGGCAATGTTAATGTCAATGCCAATCTGTTATCTTTATAATAGATTACATGATTGGCTAAAAATACATATGAATTCATATGAAAATTATGATTAATAATAATTAGTAATTCTAGTATTATATAAAATACAGCATTGTTTGTGAATTAATGCAATATATACTCTATTTGAATAATTTAAGTTACTGTATTTTATCACATATTAAAGTCAAAAAACTTTTATACTGAATTCATTTTTTAAAATACAGTGTTTTTAGTATACTAAATTAAACATTAAACAAGTTTTATTGCGAGTGAATGAGTAATTTTACGTGATTGAGTTAATACACACAACATTAATAGGGCGCAAACTAATTCTTAAGTATTTGACTAAATCTATAAACAATAAAAAGTTTATTTATAATTATGACTGTATTTGTAATTCTTTGAATTAATAAATTAAATCAATTTTTGAAAATATAGATATTGCATAAGTATTTATAATACAGTACTGGTATTTATAATGGCATATTCTTGAATAATGTTTTTTTAATTTAATTCATATTTGAGTTGGTTAATTTCATAGAGGTTTTATTGTGGGTCCACTTGTGCATGATGACTTTTCACTGGACATTGCCATTAATGGTTTAATTGTTGGTTCCAATTCTTTTGGTGTGAAGTATATTAGTCTTGTGAGCATTGAAGTGATGCACTAAAATACACGTTATTTTATATTAACTGTAGCTAGATCACATTTATGGTCATTTATGGCAATAATTGTTAGATTTACCGGAATCTGTTTCTTCTTATGGTAATCACTTATATCGGGAACGTTAGATTGGAAACCATAGGCCACTTGTAAGTTGACAAAAGTGAGCAATGTCATCAAATCCATATTCACATTGTTATAACAGTATTCATTCAATACTGAGGCCAATGATTGAATGAAATAAGAGCCGAATTCTACGTTACGGAATGCATAGTGACCTGAATTGTGGGATAAGTTGGTTAATAGTATGTGCACTCAATTCACACACTGTATTGTCATAATTATTACCCGGAGCAGTGCAATAGTAAATTATAAAATCAGCTATTGATGGGATCCTATAGACAGGCCCTGAATTGTCGGCCACATCCGGGCCCAGGGCTTTCAATTTGACCCCCGAACCTGGTTCCTTTCCGCGACAGGCCTTCAGAACACCAACAGATTCATTGAATCTCAATATGAATGCAATCATTGAGTGTATATTAACCTGAATGATGAATATCTTTGGTTTGCCAATCAGTGTCGGACACCGGTCTCCGTTGAAATAAGCGGTGAGTGTATCGATCGGATACTTGCAATTCCGGGCCCATAGGCATTGCTCGTCGCCATGGCTTAACACCACAACTGCCACACAGTCGTTGTCCGTGTGATCATCAGTGGACACTGGGATTAAGATTACAATCAAATTTTAATTCAAATAATAGGAGTTTCTTAAATAAAAAAAATTGTATTTCGAGTACAGAATCCCAATTGTGACAAACCTTTAGACATGGCATGTCTTATATCGACATAAGTGGCGTCCGTGTGTAGCTCGACATCAAACTCGAGTCTTTCAAATGAGGCCACAATAGCCTCGGCATCTTTGGCAGTGCCCGGACGGGGAGTACATCCGGTGTTGGGGTCGAAGAACTCGTGGTTAAACACAAGACATTTACCTCTCTTTCTGTGTTTCATATCATAGGTCAGGCTATACAGCGGTACAGTCAGCACACCCGCCGATTCATTGCCCCGGATCTCACTTATAATTAAACACAATTGATTTGTTTAGTAGATTATTAACTTTTTTATTATTAATTTTTAATTATAGATTATTAATTTTATATTTAAATTTATAATAACATGCAATATACTTGCTAAATATACTATGCTAAATAATCTAATATTTTATTAGAATATTTAATTCGTTTTCTTATTAATTTTATGTAAATTGTTTTACTACACTATGTCTATAATGTATGAAAATTATACCATTAAACTGTATAATAGTGAATGTGATTTGAATATTGAATACCATTGAGAAACACAATTCTTATCATTTTCAATGAAAAATTTTCATGTAATACAGATTTAAGAAAAATATTTGTATTAGCAGTCCTTACCTGACACTCCTGAAATACCTGGCATCTATTTGATCCATTATTGAACCGATTATATACAGTCTATATACAAATCAATTAATATTGAAAAATATATTTAAGACTTTCACAAATTATATTTCATACAATTATATCGAAGTGATTTGTGTAATATGAATGTTGTATTTACTAGTATGATGACTAACTACAGGTAGCATTATTTCATTGGCAATGCTTATGTAATGCCAATTTGTTATCTTGTTATCTTTATAATAGATTCAATGATTGGCTAAAAATAATTATGAATTCATATGAAAATTACGATTAAAAATTAGTAATTCTAGTATAAAATACTGCATTTTTTAGATTAATTTGAATAATTTAAGTTACTGTATTTTATCACATATTTTAAGTCCAAAAAATCTATACTGAATTCATTTTTTAAAATACAGTGTATTTAATAATTAAAATTAAACATTAAACAAGTTTTATTACGAGTGAATGAGTAATTTTATGTGATTGAGTTAATACACACAACATTAATAGACTTTGTACAGGGTAATACAAGTTTGAATAAGATTTATAATATTTACCGGTACCTTAAGATAATGAATTGCATTGTACAGATGGATGTTTAATAGTTCGGAGGTTTTATGTAACTAAAAATATTTATTAATATTCTTTTTAATTGTTAAACATTTTTATGTGTTTACCCTTTATGTTAACTATAAAATAAAATCGGAATTGACATTTAAATATTCACCTCCTAATCATGGTCAACCGAAGTTTGCCGCACGCATGTTTTTGTATTTTCCAGAGTTGTTCAACATTTAATGGCTCATAATTCATTCGGATCTGGTTCAATTGTCCAAATAATCAAGATTTTAATTTGGATATATTTGTGGGCAAATTCAGTCAATTTTTATGATTTAATAAAATTAATAATTTGTGATTAATTTTGTTGAATTAAGTAAAGTGTTAAATGGCCCATAGATTGGAAAATATTTCTAGGTATATCACCTTTTAATATTTATAATTTTGTGATCGTAGTTTATTTCAACCTTATGTTTTCAATATAAACTCTAATAAGTAATCTATCATTTGACACCTAAAACATTACATTTTGTCTTATATTAAAAAACGTTTTTACAGTTTGAAATCCTCCGAAATATTGAAAAACACCTTTCTGTATAATTAGCCCTTACCCGGGGTTTTGTGCCAAACCTGTGGCATCTCTTTCCGATTGTTTCTGAGGATTGTCTTCTTCATCGTCCGATGGATTCAATCGGACCTTTCGATGCCATCATTTAAGCCAACTTTGAAAGCTATGTACAAATCAATGCATATTTGAGTTAGTGTTTGACATTTTGCACAAATTCATGTATCATTTGCTTATTCCTCATCAATTCATCGATTAATTAAATTCATTAGAAATAAATATCAAATTAGTTATACTATACACCTTTCAAAACAGGTTTATTTCAAAGCTTTTTGAAATTAATTTCTTAATTTCTTAAATTAAATACTTTATGTAAAAGTAAAATATTATTGTTATATGTTATTGAGATTTAATTTAATTTCAATTATAACATACCTTAGATGAAGTGGTCCACGATGTGGTTAATTATAATAATGATTATTGTGCTAATAGTTAGTCTCAAATGTTTTAAACACTCATTTTCTGTTAGTTTTGAGAACAAAGAAACCATTCAATCATAAAGTAATACCAAATTCATACAACTTTTATAGATTCTGTACTAATGTTTAATTTGGGATATGATTTGTAGTACCGATTCTGTACTCATGAATATAACACTATATGATTGGTTTGTAATGTATTTCTATACTTTGGAAACGAATTCACATTAGAATTTAAATATTATATATTACTATAAATGTGTAGATTATATAAATTATATAAATAGATTATATAGATTATATAAATTAAACTTTAATTATAAGTTAGCATTTACTAGTTGGTCTAAATATGATGACTGAATCGGATTGTGTGGAAATTCATGAAATATGAATCAATAGGATAATACATGAAACATTTAATATTGCATATACTGTCATTTATTTAAAGTTTAAAAGTTAATGAATACAATTTACAAATACAATATTTTGTACTGTATTTCCAATACAAATACAACTGAATGCCAAATAAAACAAAAAAGAAATCAATTTTCAATCGAAAACTCAATTGAAATCTAATAAAGAGTTTATGAGAAGCTGTCGGAAGTGCAGTCATCAAAGTTTTCCGACGGATCCAACGCTTCCAGTGATTCGAAGACATTTGTGGTGTATATCTCTGGCCATCGATCACCTCATCATCCGATGGTTTGTCTCTTCATCCGAGCAAACAATGAATTTTAGTTAACTAACAGTAATCCCACAATACATCAAATAAATCCTCAAATTATTCAATATTTTTAAAAACTATTCATTTCATACGAATCATTATTTGAGTTAAGATTAAGACAATTTAAACAAAACATGGATTCAATTGTGTTTTAATAAGAAATTCTTATACATGATAATCACCGATCGGATTAATAACCAGTGAATCAATACAAACACACACTTTCAATACAAATCATCCATTAAACGAATCAATGATTAGTTCAAAATTCATATGAATTAATGGTATAATAATTAATTGATGCATAACTCGGACACAAAACACATTATGAAGTAAATGAGACTTTAATGAGAAGTTAAATTAAATGACATTCAGTTCGGTATAAGTATTGAAATGCGAAAATGATTTCAATTCTCGACACAAACGAGTGGTAAGATTAGACCCGCGAACGCATTAAGTCTTCGTTGATTTGGTTGATCTGCTGGAGACCTGTCGTACTCCAGCCGCCCATCGGTCCGACCCTATGGTTGCCGTTGTCACTACTGGGGCCGCCGTTTCTGAACGGATTGGGAGGCGACGACTCTCTCTTCACGCTATTGTTATCGCTGTTTGAGTGCAAAAACAACTCAATGTATCGTTTCTCTGCCAATTCACACAACAAATCATCACTTTTTGGGAACTAATCAATGGTTGTATATGTCTTACGAATGAACGCTTTGTCTTTATTCATGGCTTTGACAGAGTCCTCGTGAGTGGCAAACGCCACGTCGGCCTCACCACTGGGTCGGCCCAAGTCGTCGATCAGTATTTGTACGTTAAGTGGCCTCAAAGGTAGGAAAAACTCGTAGATTTCTCTCTCAGATGTCTTATATGGCAGTCCTCTCATGTGAACGGTATGGCGACCGGCGAATGGCATCGCGTTGTGTGGCTGTTGTGATGGGTATGAGTCGTATGTGTGGCGACCGCCATATCCGGGAC